TACCTAGACCCCCCCACTACCCTCTAATACACCCTAACTACCCGTTGTCAAGGACCATAAGGGCTCCATTAAGGGCCCTTTGGGTGGTCCTGGTATGCACCCGCAAACCCTAAACCCTAAACCCTAAAACCTAAACCCTAAACCCTAAACCCTATTGCATGAGGGGATGTTGGAGTTTTTCTTGGCTTGAAGCCTGGACACCGGGACCTGAAATCTGGGAAAACGGTGGTTATTAGGGGTCATTAATGGTTTAGGGCTCAGTCCATAGAGCCCAATACCCCTTAATTAAGGAATATACCTTCAGTCTTAAGGGGCTTTATATTATGGTTTCTTTATATTATGGTTTAGCGTATATTCCTTATTTAAGGGGTATTGGGCTCTCTGGGAGGGTCTCGAAGGTTAAATAGTATTCAGACATCAGGGATACTTGCTATGGTCTCGGGGAAGGACATGCAGAAGACCGTTGCCAAGAACATGACTTGGGCCGCACCCTCGGACAGCCCTACACCCGAAACCCTAAATCATCCTAGACCCCTAAAGCCCTAAACCCTAAAACCCTACATCCTAAAATCTTAAACCGTAAAAGCCCTAAACCATAAAACCATACATCCTAAAATCTTAAATCCCTAAAGCCCTAAACCCTAAAACCCTACATCCTAAAATCTTAAACCGTGAAAGCCCTAAACCCTAAAACCCTCCATCCTAACATCTTAAACCGTAAAAGCCCTAAGGCGCTGTAGCTGATCTTGAATATGAGTTGAGGTACCCAGAGAGCCCAATACCCTTTAAATAAGGAGTATGCCTTAAATCATAATATAAAGCCCCTTATAACTTAAGGTATATTCCTTAATCCAGGGGTATTGAGCTCTCTGGGTATATTTCTTAATGAAGGGGCTTTGGAGTCTTTGGGTAATGCTTCGGGCGCGTTACCTCCGGATTTTTGTTCGGGATGAAGGATTTGAGAAGCTCAATCCCCAAGCATCTAGCCGTAAATCCGCAACAGAAGTAAAACCTAAACCTCCAGGACCTCCCAAGTGCCGTTTAATCGAGCCCTTATGGTCTTTAATGGTGGGTATTTACGGTATATCAGAGGGGGTGTAGGCCTAAACCCTTAACAGAATTAAACCTTAGACCGGAAACCCTAAACCC